TATATTACCAACTTGAGGAATCCTTGGAGCTGTGTTGTAAACGTTCCAAATTTCACAGCCTTTGATTTCTCCCTTCACATTATTACACTCTTTAAGATTGTTGATGAGTGTGTGATGATGCCGGCAATTGTAATGAAGAAACAGAGAGGATTTGATATTCTAAACCTTCAAGTGCTGATTGATGTTCTTGCAAGATTGATGAGTATTTTCTCAACGGCAAACCGCATATATTCATCGATCGAGTAATGCCTCAAGTTTCGGAATAAGCTATACGCAGGAGAATCAAAATGGTGGTTTCTGAGATTATCAAGAGCTTTAAAAAAGAAGAAGAACAAAAAAAAATGTAAGTTTTAAAATACTTATATTTGGAACGAGATCTCTTTGGTTTCGGTAATAAGCATTTTCGAAAGCAGACGAAACTTGCTTTCAATCCCAATCACAACTTCCCATGTACTCCTCCTTCAAGGTTCATCTACTCTCCTTCTCTCCTTTTTTTATCTCGATTTAACTGATTCGAGCTGGGTTTATCTTCTTACTTGTTGTAAACCTTTCGAATTTGTTTCCTACTTGATTTGAGAGTAAAGTATAAATTTTTCGTAGGGTCTTGTTCTAGTGATGTTGTAATTAGGGAACAATGGTGTGTTACTTGTTTCTGTTTGATAGATTGTTCTGTTTCTTTAGTAATTTCTTTCTCTTTAGTTTTCTTAATTGTACTTAAAAATCAGAACATTAAATCTGAATATTTTCTCTAATCTAATTATTATTTTTGGGGTCTTGTCCATTAAATGCTTCTGAAAATTCTCCCGCCAAACACAAACTTGTCTTCTCTCTAAACTTTTTTGAAAATAAGTGTTATTTTTGATAATTTTTCCTAAAACAAATTATTATTTTTTATTTTTTTTTTGGGGAAAAGGAAATTGTGTAATAAGTCGGAGCAACCCTCAAAATTCCCCATTCCTCGTAGGGTTACGTTTTGTTCCTCGTAGAATCGCCGTCCGTCGGATTGCAAATTGGGGATCTCCGGTGTCGTTAGAATCGCCTTCTGTTGAATTGCGTTTCCACTGTCAATCGAATCGCCGTTCTTTGGATTACCATGAAACGATCAATCAGCCCCGAGCCCTTTTCCTCCGCGAAGACGGCGAAGCACGTTCACCACTCAGGGGATGATGGAGCAGAGGATCCTGTTACGTTTCTTTTCCGACCCTTTTCTTCTAGACCACGTAAGTATTGGATCTGAGTGTAAATTATGTGTGATTGAGCCTCCTCTAAATTTCATGTTTTTCATTTCAATCGTTCTAAATCTCATGTTTTTCATATCTATCGTTCTAAATTTCATGTTTTCATGTCAATCATTAGCTGATCCAAACCGAGAACTATACTTGTCCGATGCTTGGAAGCAGCTAAAGCCAGCAATCAACATTATCTTCCAGGATGCGTACACGTCGGGTGTTTTCTACTACAATATTGTTTATCGGGCTGTTACGCGTGCATGCCTGGCTGGTTCGGGAAAACAGCTTATTGATCTGATCAAGAAAGAGTGTGAGCCACATATCTCTGCGGCTATACAGTCTTTAGAGAGGCATAATGATGAAGATGATCCCTCTGTTTTCTTGCCACTCGTTGAAAAGTGCTGGCTAGACTTTAAAAAGAAGATGATGCTTGTTTCTGACCTTTCCATGTATGACACTTGTGGTGGACCTCAATTCTTGGAGATAGGCAAGCGGATTTTCCAGGCGAAACTCTCTTTGGCCACTCAAACTCAAGATAAACTTATCGCCGGCATTTTAGGACTCGTCACCGATCAAAGGTAAGCAAGAGACGACCTTCTTCTTTCTTCTAATCTGGACTCTACTTATTTGCCCTGTAATTTTGTATTGTTATATACCAGGTTAGGAAAGACTAGTACAAACGTGAGTCTCTTAAAGAATCTTATGGAGATGTTCCAAGGGGGCTCAGACGTGTTTGTGAAGCCTTTTCTTGATTCCACTTCTGAGTTTTACGCCGCAAAAGCAGAGCAAGTCCTGCAGCAGTCCGACATTTCCCACTACTTGGAATTTGTCGAGGTACGTACATGATCTCATGACCACCTTTTCTTTTGTACGCTCCCTCTTGAAAGCCTGTTTTGCTGGTGATTGTTTCAGACGAGTTTGCGTGAGGAGGAAGAGAGGAAATACTGTTATTGCTTCTCCTTAATATGCTGGAGAGAACTAATAGGAGTTGTTGCTAGAGAACTCCTGGAGGTTAAGCGCCCTCTTCTTGAAAAGGTCGCCCCTCTTGTTCTGTTTCAGTTCCATGTATTGTATGTCCGTGTACAAGTTTCTAATCACTTGCCTTGTCAACAAATGTGGATGTAGGCTTTTACTGTATTCATGGATGAGGGTCGCATGGATGACCTTAAGAAAATGCATAGAGTGCTCTCTAAGGCGGGTCTGGTGGGTGGTTTTATGGACCGCATTCTGAGTTCCTACATTCGGGAAAAGGGAGCAAAGGAAGGAAGCTCTTTGCTCAAGGAGTTGCATACTAGCATTGATAAGATATGGCATAAATGCTTTCACGGCGATTATGGACTGCTTAAGAGCATCAGAGACTCTTTCAAAGATTTGGGTTTGGGTTTGCATGTGCCGGTATGAAAATATATCACTCTTACCTTTTTTTTTCTTTCTCATTTATCCCTCCCTCTCACTGATTCTTATATTAAAAAAGTGTATGTGATTCTTCGTACAGAAAGAAAATGTAGGATTCATTATAGAGGACAACGACGAAGATGAAGGATTCACTATAA